CTTCCCCACCGTCTCCACCTCACCATCAGTGACCCTTTCCATATCTGGTTCGGAACTGTGGTATTTCCTGTGGCTCCTCTAACAAGTGACCACAGGCCTGCCTAATGCAACGCAGGACGATCACTGGCCCCTTCTGGAGGTCTCGAAATGCAAAGTAAGTCTCATGGGGCGGAGGTCAAGGTGTGCGCGGGTGCTCCCCTCGGAGGCGCTGAGGGAGGAACCGGCTGCCTTGCCTCTTCCAGCTTCTAGAACACGCTCCTTGCTTTGCTTGGCCTGTGGCCTCTTCTCCATCTTCAAAGCTGGCAGTGGTGCATCTCGCCTGGGTGTCACATTCTTCTGTGTCGGTCTCCTTCAGTCTCCCTCCTATAAGTTCCCCTCGCATTTAGGGCCGGCCTGGATATGCCTGGATACGTCTGCAGGTTACTTAACTTGATCCCATTGGCCAAGTCTCCTTTGCCATCAGCATTAATTCAGCTTTCTCTTCTGTCCTGCCTCCCCATCTCCACTCCAGCTCTCCAGATTGTCTGAGGAGGCAAACAGGAGATGATGCATAAAAAAAGCCCTTGATGCCCATAAAGTTCTTTTCTTCCTCAGGGGCTTTGCACAGTCTGTTCCTGCTACTGGACTATCCATCCCTCTACAGGCACAGTCACATATGGCTAACCCTTCACATCTTTGAGGTTTTGACACCTCCTTAGAGAGGCCTTCCCAGCACCCCCACCTCAACCTTATCTGTTCTCTATTTCAGCACCCTGGCACCCACCACAATGTGGGACCACTTTATTACATGTTGGTTTATGTATGTATATCTGTCACCCCGTCACACTGTCAGCTGTACTGGAGCAGAGGCCTGTGAGTCCTGTCTCTGCTACATACCCTGACCCTAAAATCCCACTGGGACATGGGTGGTCCTTAAGGGATTGTTGAGTGAATAAAAAACATTAATAATTGATGCTTCGTTGGTCATACACTCCTGGCCAGGTCTCGAGTTCTGTCTTTTTAAGATCTAAATCTGGATATGCCTGTGGCTCAGTATTCCCCAAATCACCCTGACCTCTTTGGGGAGGATCCCTCTCCTAAATCCCCCAAAGCTTTCTGCCCTCTTTACTGGGACCTTCCTGAGCAACCCCGCATCTTCCCTCAACCACGCATGAGATCCTTCCTAAGTGCTCAGGCCACTGGCCATTCCACTCGAATCAAAGAATACCAGCCCTCAGAGGAACCAAGCAGACCAGAGCTGGCCAACCGTGACCCACCGTCTGATGTTATAAATAAAGTTTTATTGGAACACAGCCCAGTTCGCTCACTGGAGTATCATCTAGGGCTGCTTTCTTACTACAACGGCGGGACTCAGCAGCTGTAGCAGGGACTGTGTGGCCCACGGAGCCTGACATACTCACCAGCTGTCCATTCACAGAAGTGAACTAGACCCTGTGACCCAAACCCACTTTGCAGACAAGACTGAGGGCCAGAACACTCACTGGCCAGAGCCAGGACCCTGCAGTAAGGCCTGGAATTTGGTTCTGCAGAATTCCAAACCAGATTTTTCCCACAAAGCATGTTATCTGTCCTTAGCACCCAGAATCCCCCAACTCCCTTTCAGTCCCAGGCCATCTCCCTCACTCCCAGCTCGCTCTTTACCCTTTCAGAGAAAGGCCGTGGCCGTGTATGATCTCCACCTCCTGCTGCCTTGACCCTGCCAGGGGCCCACCTAGGTCACCTCTTCCCTTCCAGATCCTCCAGTCCGTCCCTCAATCCTTCCCCTCATGCCATAGAGAAGATTGAGATGGCCAGGGCCCTGCCCGAGTGCACTACTCCCTCCTCTGTGCACTCCAGGAGGGGCTAACAAACCCGGCTAGAATCCCAGGGGAGCCCCTGTGAGATGCAGGGCCCAGACCCCGCCCCAGGTTCTACTCATCCAGAACTTGGAGTGTGAAATGGGGGCCTTGGCAAACTTCACCTTACCATGAGCTCCACAGGCGGCTTCCGGGGTTTAGTGGATACAGACAGCATCGGAGTGAAGCAGCAGCCGGTGGAACGTTGTTCTCTAAAAAAATATTCAAAGAGAATGCAATATTCTTTTTCCTGGGCATTCTCCACCCTCTCCTTGACTCCAGGCCCTAGAATTCTTTCCCATCTCCAGCTCCTCCAAATAAAACATCACAAATAATGCTGGCTTTTCCCTCTTCTGAGCAGACAAGATAAGAAGATTTTTTAATGAGTTGCTGGCAAAGAATTCTTGAGCTGATAAACTATTGAGGTCAGAGTGACTAAAGGAGACACCGTTGAAAGAAGAGAATAGGTACATAGGAAAATCCCAGAAGAAGCCGGACCCCTGGGGTTCAGGCTCTCTTCTTCTGGGGCTCGCCAGCTGTCTTGGTAAAGGTGCCCCTGCCTTGGACAGCCGCAGAGCCTCTCTCTGCTTCCCTTTGGGATTCTTCAGTACCACTGTGTTCCCTGGGCCTCTGGCATGAAAGGCAGCAGCCCAGGGGCCATTCGGTGAGAGAGACACAGCCCTCCAGGGACTGGGGGTCGTGGGCTGTGCTCAGGGGGCCACAGAACAAAGGAAAAGAGGGGGTACAGCTCTGCAAAACAACCCAGGTAGGCTTCTCTGAGGTCTTGGGGCTGGTTTCCAATGGCGATGGAGACCCAGTGACAAAAATAAGTTCCACATCACCCCAGACAGTAGAATCCAATTCAATTTCAAGTCACTGTGTGTTTATTGAGTGCCTGATTCAGTTTAGGTGATGGAGAGGGAGAAAGAATGAGGGAGACAGCCTGAGGAGCAGGCAGACGCAGGCAGAAATTCCCCGGGCGGCTGCCCCGCAGATCCGTGGGTCCAGAAACTCGATTTTATTAGTTTCACCCAGTAAGAAATTGGTAAGTCAGTCTGTTTCATGAACAAATATTTATTAAGTAGCTACAGCCTGCTAGTCACTGTCCTGGAGCTGTAGCTAGAACAGCGACCTGAGCAGTCCCAGGTCCCTACCCTTGTGGAGTTCACGTGCCAACAGGGCATCTGCAGGACCAGCATCTGCATGGGGCAGAGTTATCAGGACAGATATTTAGGAAGAGGTGGGACTTAACCTACAGTTTGAAGGCTCAGTGGGGCTGCAGGCCTTACCCACAGGGAACAGAATGCATGGCTGGGTATGAACATGGCACACCACTGGGGCTCCATGACCAGATCGGTTCCCCTAGAGGTAACAAGGGCATGCTGGGTAACAGGGTGCATGCTGGGGAGCTGGAGAAGAGAATACTGATATCATAAGGAATTACAGGCTGTGTAATCTTGGGTCTGACTCCCAGCTTTCACATCTTTGTGATCCATGCATGTTTCTGAACCTCAATAATCACCCCCTTCTCCGTCTATGAATGGGTGTACTCACAACTAGCTCGGGGGCTGGCCCTGTACTTGGACGAGATCGTGAATGGGGTTAACTGGGAGGAACGGAAAAGGCTGAATTATAAGCATCCTCTACATAGGTTCACTCCAGGAATCAGCCACCAACAACTTTATGACATCTGTGTGTCACAGTGGGTCAGCTACCTTGTGAACCCTTAAGTGCTCCCCTGGCAGCCATGCGGAGCTGAGTGGCAGCCCCAGAGCCAGGGGAAAGACAACAGAGGTGCCTGAAACATGTATGGATCCCCTGGTCTCCTTAAGTTTTGCTCCCTAGCGCCCCCTGGCTTCGCTCAAGTCCAGGCCCTGCAGAATGGCAGGCCATCTTTGGGGTCTGCATGGTGTATTTCTCAAGGCGCTGCCCTTGGCCATCCACCTAAATCAGAATCCTACAGGCTGCTTTTTAAAAGTGTGTTCTTGGCCCCTCTACAGTCAGCATCTCTGGAGCAAGGGCCAGGACTCTGCATGTCAGAACCTCTCTGGTGCCTCAGCCGATTACATTAGAGTGTGCGTTCTTTGAAGGTAACCCCAGGCCAGCAGCACTAGTATCAGGAACTGGTTAAAAATGCAAGTCCCAGATCTACCAAATCAGAAACTCTGAGGGGCGGGGTTGGTCATCCGTCTTTTAACAAACCCTGCAGGTAATTTCCATGCACATTAAATTCACATGGTTGGTATTAAAAACTACTGCTGCTTTTTCCACTCTGTACCAATTAAATCAGAATCCTGGGAAAGGACTAAAGTATGGGTATTTTTCAAAAACCCTTCTCCCCAGAGTGAGCCTAACAGGAGGACAGAGTTTATAATCACAGGAAGGAAGAGGAAGACATCGACATTCCACACACACAATGCACACACGCCCTGAGGTAGCTATGGCTGATACAGGACATTGTCTCCGTCAACCCCTGTGACAATCAGGACCCTACCTTCACACCCCAGTGGCAGGAGACATAGGAGGCCCCCAGTTTCAGCAGTGTGACCAGGAGCCCAGCTCTGCTGGCTGTTACTGGGCCACCACCAACAGCGGGGTCCCCGGGAATGCTGGGCTCTCTGTGCCTCTGCCAGGTACCACCGCCTTTTGGCACCTGGTGCTTGGGCAGAGCCGAGCCCTGGGAAAGTTCCCGAGGGTGTGCGGAAGCAAGCTGGGGATGGAAAGGGACATTTAAAGGACACCTTAGAATTGGGCCCCGAGCCAGGAGCCCCAAGAACCCTGGCACCAGGTTCCCGGGCCTTCTGCTGGCTCCAGACCTTGTGCTTGGTGCTTTAAGTGACTCATCTCCTTGACGTTCACATGATGCTGAGAGGCACAGTGTTCACAGCCTAGCTACCGCGTAGGCTTTCGTGGTCACAGGGTCCCCGTTTTACAGATGAGGAAACTGAGGCCCAGCGATTCCGGAGAGCCTGCCCCGGAGTCCCCGGTGGGGTCGGGATGTCTCCGCAGGCTCTCCCACCTCTCGGGCGCGCAGAGCCAGGGTCTCCAGGGAAGCCGAGGGGGGGGCGGGGGCGGGGAGGAGGGGTCGGCCCCGGCAGGGGAGGGGCTGAGCGACAGCCACCACCGCCCTAACTGCGCGTCCCCGCCACCCTCCGCCCGCTGCAGGCCCTTCCTCGTGCTGCCGCCGCTGATGGAGTGGATCCGGGTGGCCGTGGCGCACGCCGGCCACCGCCGCAGCTTCTCCATGGACAGCGACGACGTCCGCCAGGCGGCCCGGCTGCTGCTGCCCGGCGTGGACTGCGAGCCGCGCCAGCTCAGGTAGGGCCGGGCGCGCGGGCGGGCGGGGATCCCCGGAGCGCGGCCACGGGGCCACCTGCCCTGGGGCTGCTCAGCGCTGCGCGGTCGCGGTGGCTGCGACTCCGCGGGTTTAAATGGCAGACGCGGGCTGAACAATGAACAGGTCCCGAGTCCCCGGGAGGAACGAGATCGCAGCGTGGCCGTTGAGGTGCCAGGGTGCCGGGTCCGCTAGCCTTCCCGGCTCCTCCCTCAATCAAATACTCTCTTCCCGGAGTTTTCTGACCGAATCTTGCAAACTCACTCTGTGGCTGGGGGAGGCAGCCCTCGGCTCCCCCACGTGCACGAGGACGGAGGGGTCCCCTGCATTTCTCACCTGTGTGTCCAGGTCTCCCCTACAGCACGGTGGGGACTACTCACGGGCTGCTGAAGCCCCCCCATCCCCCACCCAAGCCATTTATTGAGCAGCTCATTGTTATCCAAAGCAAAACCAGGGAAACGACTCACTTCAGTCATAAATACAGAGAGCACAGAAACCCGATTGTGGGCTTGTGCGCGCGTGGGTGTGTGTGTGTGTGTGTGTGTGTGTGTGCGCGCGCGCGCGCTTTCCTGGTTCCTTGAGCTGTTTCCTGGGATCCTTATCACCGTTTTCAAATCTTCAAATTCCCTTCCACCCACCTGATGAGAAGCTGTCCTCGCTCTGGTTTGTCTGGCTTGATCAAGGGCCAAGCAACAGAGATTTCTGCCCTTCCAGGATCTGACTGGGGTCTGCAAGGAAACTGAGGCCTTGCAGGATAAAACGTGGCCCACCCAAGCCCCGGACGGCCTCTGGGCCCAAGAACACAGAAGGCACTGATGGGTCTTCACTGCTAGCTCTATGAATGTTTGCGGCAAGCTGGGTCCTGTTTTAAGTGCTTTATATGGATTAATGTCTAATATTCTCCCAAATCCTATCAAGTAGTTGATTATTACACCCACCTCAAAGACAAGGAAACTGAGACCCAGGTAGGTTAAGTCATATACCCAAGGTCACTGGACTAGTAAATGCTCAGGATATGAATTCAGATAGCCAGACCCAGGCCTGTATTCTAACCCCTGAGCTTTACTGCCTTCAGGTTTCTCTGTCTAGTCCGTTCCTAGCTGGTCACCATGCCTTACACCTTGGCACCTAGAACAATAGTCGTTCTCAGGGAAAGGCTGGGAGCAGCCGTTTATTGAGCAGGTACTATGTGTCCGTTATCAGCTGCAACGAGACATTTGCACTCATCGCCTGTCTGGTTTAATCCCTGCAGCAGCCTCATGAGGTTGCTTCCCATGTTGCAGATGAGGAAGCCATTGATGGGGCAGCTTGTAGGTGGAAGGGCCAGGAAGAGATTATAGTGACTCTAGGCCAAAGTTCAGCCTCTGCCCACCAGACTCTCCTGTCTTCTGTTTCTTAGGGTGGCATTCTACCTGTGGCTTACTGTCCCCAGCTCCAACCTGGGGTACCCTTGGGGCTCCAGCTCTCCTGGTTGAAATAAGCCCTGATCCACTGCAGGGTGGGGAAAGTAAGACATTTCCTTAATGTTTACTGACAGAGTGTTCTTTGTCGTCGTGCTCCCAGAAGTCAGAGCCTAAGGTTAGGAGCCTGGGCTCCAGGGTACCATTGCCTGGATCCAAATGCCACCACCACAGTTAATTTAGCTGTGCAATCTTTGGCAAGCTAGTTAACCTCTCTGAACCTTAATTTCCCGGTCAGTAACTTGGGGGTATTATTAGCAGCCCCCCTCAGAGGTTAGTGAAAGCACAACATGAGGTCATGAATGTGAAGCCTCCATATAGACAACACCCAAAAGGAAATAAGTAGAATCTCAAAGTCTCTACTACCCTGAAAAGCAATAGAGGCTCATACTCGGGAATGTTGCTTTATGGTTTTGGAAAGCCTTTAATGTGTTCTAATATGAACCTCAAAATAAACATTGTTGTCCAGAAAAATAATGCTTCTCCATTTTACAGAGAAGAAAATCAAGGCCCAGAGACATTAGGTAATGCCCAGGATCACACAGATATTAAGTGACTGGGTCAGGAGTTGGATAACAAACCAGGCACCCAAAAGTAGAACCACACTGGCCCTCCATATCCAAGGGTTCAGCCAGCTGCAGATGAAAAATATTTGAAAAGAGAATTCTGTCTGTACTGAACATGATCCAATGACTTCTTCTTGTCACTATGCCTGGACATTATAGTCTAACTGCTGTTTGCATAACATCTTCATTGCACGAGGTATTATAAGTAACGTGGAGATCATTTAAAGTGCACAGGAGGATCATGCTGGTGACGTCAGATGCTGCACCATTTTATAGGAGGGACTTGAGCATCTGGGGATTTTGGTGTCTACAGGGGATCCTGACATCAATCCCCTATAGGTACCAGGGATGGGTGATGTATAGCTTTTCTGCTTCCCCACCCTAGAACTAGATAGTCCTCTCAGAGGACCCTGGTAGCCCTCTTCTTCTTTTTCTTTTAATATTTTTTAAGTTGTCAAAAATGGATCTTTTTATTTTATTTATTTACTTATATGTGGTGCTGAGGATCGAACCCAGGGCCTCGCACATACCAGGCAAGTGCTTTACCACTGAGCCACCACCCCAGCAGCCCTCTTCTTGATGATTCTGTTCCTCCTCAGAATTCCATACACCAAACCTGAGCCTCGGAGAGCTATCCATCTCTGCACGCCCCCTTCAGCACAGAGCATGGTCTAGTGACCACATGAGTGTCATTCTGACAGTCACACCAAGGATTCTGTCTCTCATCTGTCCAGTTTGAGGCCTCAGCCCTGGCATTTGGGATGTGAATGTGATGAGCTTAGAAGCCAAAATGCACAGGGGAGCTAAGAGGGTCAGTTTCACAGGAGGCCCTGGGCTCTTTTTAGTCATTTATCCCTCCATCCTTGACTTGTGTGTCTCCTGAATGACAATTTATATATAGAAAATGTACTCTTTGATTGTTCAAGCTAAAATTTCATTAAATCTGGATGGTCATCTTAAAAAAAGACATAACTGAAAGACCGTCGACCCTCCAAACCTGCAGTTTCTGAGTCTGCAAATTCAACCAACGGCACATCAAAAATACTTTTGAATTTTTTCCTGTACTGAATATGCATATATTTGTTATCCCCTAGATACGGTAGTACAACAACTATTTCCGCAGCATTTACATTGTACTAGGTATTATTTACATTGTACTAGGTATTATAAGTAATCTAGGGATTATTTAAAGTACACAGAAAGATGCACATTAGGTTATGTGCACATACTTTGCCGTTTTTATATGAGGGATTTGAGCATCAGCAGATTCTGGTGTCCTCAGGGTGTTCCCACAGATACCAAGGAGCACTGTATAGTATTTTGTTAGCTTTTCTAAATAGTAGGTATAAAACTTACAAGTTACGTTAACTTGAAAAAAAAATTCAGTTCATGGAAAAGAGTACTTATTTTTCAGTCTGATCAGTGTGTGTGTGTGTGTGTGTGTGTGTGTGTGTGTGCGTGCGCGCGCTTCCAATCTCTTTTAATGTGATGTGAACAATTACCATCTCCATTTTGCAGGAATGAAATTTTGTTCGTTCAGACACCCAGCAAAAACACTAAGGACCCACTCTGTCCCTTATTCTAACTGACCTCGTGGCTTGTCCACAACCATCTGCAACAACTTATGCAAAATAGATTCATTACCCCATTTTACAGAGAAGAAGGCCAAGGCTTCTTGGGGTTATGGCACCCACCCCAAGTCACTGAAGCCCAGAGCAGGTCTAGAATGGAGGACTTCCCCAGAGGAGGTATCAATAGTCTCCTTGTTTCTCTTCCCAGTCCCTCAGCCTAGACGTTAGCAGGCGGGCTCCTGGTTCTGGGAGAGAGCCTAGCTCCCCTCCCTAAGCATAAACAAGCCAGGAAAGGTGAGGGTCATTCGGTGTTCTAACAAATGCGGGAAAGTGGCCTTGGCGGCTGGAGTGTCAGTGACATTAGCACATATAATTGCCAAGCAGCTGGCGCAGGCTTCCTGGAGGGAGGCAGCCTGGAGCCGGAGTCAAGGATCCCCAGGTCTGGCACTAGTGCCAGATCTGCAGAGCGACCTTGGTCAAATGCTGCTGGAGCTCTGTCTTTGTCCCCACTTAGCGACAGCAGAGCCTCACCATGGTGATCAGGTGTTCAGAGGGATGCCACTCTGTGCGGCTGCGGCTTCTGAGCCAACAGGGTGACCCATTTAGTCTTCCTTAGTCAGAGTGTCAGGTAATCCAAACGTGGTGAAGCCAGCTTTTTTTTTTTTCCTTCTTCTTCTTTGTGAGGTGAGGGAGTCGGGAGCAGAGGAGGGGAAGGACAGAATGGTTAATACACCTTGGCAGGATTCCTTGTTTCCTTAATTATGGGTTTTGAAACTCTTCAGGAGATGCAAAAATAAATGCTGTGGGTTCCTTCATGTTTGTAAGAGGCAGTGTTTCTGTTCTGGCTGTGTTGATAGAGAAGAAGTCAGGGGACCTTACTAGGTCCTCCCTCAGCTGATAAATGGCACCATTCAACAGGATTTGGGGGTCATTAGAACTGTGAGCCCCTTCCAGAAAATGCCTCATCTTTTTACAAGTGTTTCAGACCAGAATTTGAGCTGTCCCCACACAGAAAAGCCCAGAGTGATAAGGTGCAGCGTATTAGAGGGGACTCGGGGGACCTGGGCCATTGTGTTCCTGCCTTGGCTTCCCTGTGGTCTTTAGTAGCGCCTACTAAGTGCCAAGACGCAGATGCTGTTGTCTAGGTCTGCTGCTTTCTACCAGGTGACCTGGAGCAAGTCACTTCCCCATCACACAGGGCTTGGTCCATCCTCTGTAAGGATGGGAATGGCCACTGCTCCCTGGGCTAGAGGACCTTGGCGGAAGGTCAGGGATGAACTGAACAAACAGGTGGCACCATGGACCGACCTGCTACTTTCCACCCTTCCCAGGTCTCCTGGGCACCTGGAGTCTGGCAGGTTTTATTCTTTGTTCAGCGTGGGCCCAG